ACTCTGGTCGCTTCTCCAGAGTTGAGGACCGTCCAGCCGGTCCGGTCCAGCCAGGTCGCCACTCGATCCCCCACGTCATCTGCCGCATCACAGGTCGAGTCCCACAGAGGATGGTGGGCGTTGGAGTCCCCCACCACGATGGAGTTGTCGTCATTGGGGAGGAGGTCTGGATCGAAGTGGTCCTCTCGTTGGTCCTCCGCTGATGATCTAAGAGGCGGGCGGTACAGAGTACAGACACCAGATATCCAGCGGGCGGTTACCCAGTATCTTCACGCCACAGATCTCCGTCGAGTCATCCGCAGCAGCGAGGGGACGGTCCGTCAGGGGGGTGAAGTGGACTCCCGCGCGAACGTAGACCGCCACGTCCCCACCCTTGACAGACGGTGCACCTGTGAGTCGTCCTCGTGTCCGTCTGGTGACCACTGGGGGCTGGAAGCCCCGGATCCTCGTTGCAGACCGGGAGAACTCGCCCTCTTGAACTGCTACCACATCCGCCTTGTTTGACAGGAGCCAGCGTTCGAGCTCACCAACTTTGGGTTGTAGCCCGTTCGCGTTCCAGCACACCAGGAGCAGGAGACTGCGCTGTTGTCGGTTCCTGTGGTAGCGTCTGTTGCGGGCTCTTCTCCGGCCTCCGGGGCCCCCCGCCCCACGGCCACCACCCCCGTCGGTGCTCACGGGGGCGGACACTGCCGGGCTGCTACTCATCTAGCAGGGCCGCCCCGCGCTGCGAGCGCAGGTACGGTCCCGCCAGTGGGCATAACGCGGCCCCGCGCGTGAAACTGGAGTCGATGGTGCCGGTGAAGTAGTCCGAGTCCGTTGAAGTTGGAGTCCGGGCGACGTAGCGACGAGACGACAGCGACGATCGGGCAGGGATCGCCAGGCGCCTCTCGGAGAGGGCGCAGTTGGACCGTTTGGTTTCCCCGCCGGGTCTCCCCCGGCAGGGCGGACCGGTTGACTGACGTCGTCGGTCCACACTCCCCACCACTTGACGGCGGTCCATCCAGGGAGCCAATCCAGACCTGGTGGGGCCGTCGTGACCTGTTGCCAGGGGGTCTTATTTTGAACTTAATTTTTGTGTTAATATTTCATTTTTGTGTTTTTTCGTGTTTATGGCTTGTAGGAAAGGCGCTTTGGTTTAAGCATTTTGCTTTTGCACCAATTCGTGATTATTTTCTCTGGTGTTTCTTGTTCTTGGTTACCAAAATATACTTAACCCGGCAGGCGGTGGGCCTACCAGCCACCTTCCGCGCCGTGGGGGGGGGGCATTTTTTGCCCCCCCCGTATCTCCGAAACTACTGGACGGATCCGGAAAATTCAAACGGCGTTCGATAGCCCTGTCAAATTTGTCATGGGAAACCAAATTTCATTGACCTCGGGGTCACCGATGACGTCACAGGTCAGGTCAAAGATAAAATGTTTCACCGTTCATGGGGCTTCTAGGGAAAGCGCTATAACACCGAGTAAAACGCATTTTGTCGCAAATCAGCGATAAGGCGTCAGTTGTCTAGTACATATGTTGCTATTAGAGGTCACTGGTCATACCAGGTCAGGTCACAGGTCAGGTCACCAAAGGTCACCAAGGGTCACCACATGAGCCCAACTTTACTGAGGTTATGCGATGCATGTTTTATGGCCAGTTTTTCATTTCCAACTCAATGGTGTTGGTTATAAGACCATTAGGTACGGCTTAGGTCACTTTCTGGTGGAGGTCAGGTCAAGGTCAGGTCAAAAAAGGTCAAATTTCAAAGTTGATATTTTTGCATAAAATGGGTATCGATTCGATGCAGCTTGTCACGGGGAGTCTAATGGTGGTCTTTGTTTTGCGCTACGAGGTCTAGAATTGCTAAAAATTGAGTTTGAAAATTTAACGTCATCAATTTTGAACAGTTTTTTCGCTATAACTTGGCCAAAAAAAGAGGTATCGATCTCAAATTTGGTATGTGGATAGAAGGTGGTAGGGACTATCACATATATTCCGTTTTTTTTCGAAATTCAAAAAACTTTTTGGATTTTTTGGCTATTATATTCAAAAAATCTATTTTTTGATTTTTTTGGGTCAAAATCCAAAAAATTCGAAAAACCGAAATAGCGGTTTTGTAGCCCTTTTGATTCCACACCTTTTATGTTTTAAACATTTTTCTGTATCTCTAAAGCTGTAGGCCTGACAGCTCTTCCCGCGAAACCTTTTTTTGGGTCGAAAATGGCAAAAATGACGTCACTCTGACGTCATTAGCGGCCAACCTATCATAGCCTTTGGAAAAATTTTTGGTCATCATGTGCGCTAGCTGCTCCCGGGAGGGTACTGAAAGTTTGGTGACGATCGGCGCAGCGGTTCTTGAGATATATTGAAAAAACTAAAGGGGGGGGGGCAAAAAAATGCCCCCCCCCCCACCGCCTGGAAGGTTAACTAAACTGAACTGAACTTATTGCCCATTACAGACAGGATTTTGGATTTTTCCAAATTCATAGAACCAAACTAGCTTTTAAAAAGGATTGCTCACCATAGTAGATGCTCACCATAGTAGATAGAAAAGAGGCATAGGGAGCGGATGCTCATAAGATGCTGCCTCTTCTCAATGTCATATGACGGTCATATCTGTTCTTGAATGCGTTGATGCTTGGACTCAGTACATGTTCAGGCAGTTGGTTCCATTGGTCCACAACTCTTGAGGAGAAAAATTGATTGCGTCTGTGCAGCCGATGCCTTGGCTTTTGCAGTCTGAGAGCATGTCCGCGTGTCCTTTCCCTGTTTGTACTGGTCTCTAGTTTCAAAAACTCTTCTCCAGCATTCACCTTGTCATGTCCATGGACCAGCTTGTAGACTTCAATCATGTCCCCTCTAACCCTTCGATCTGCCAGTGATCAGTGATGTCAGTTTCAGTTGGTCTAAACGATCTTGGTAAGGGAGATTGGCGAGTTCAGGTACGAGTTTTGTCGCTCTCCTTTGGATCCTCTCCAACCTGTTGACATCCTTTTGGAGAAACGGGGACCAAGCTTGGATGGCATATTCCATGTGAGGGCGTATCAGTGTTCTGTAAATTGGCAGGAACATTTCCTTGTCCATGAAGGTGAATGTCCTCTTCACTCTTCCCAGCATGGAGTTCGCTGCAGCTGCCGCTCTCGTCACCTGCTCTAATACTTTGAGGTCTGGCGTTATTGTGATTCCCAGGTCCTTTTCTTTTATGGTTGAGGTAAGAGTGGTTTCCCCCATTGAGTAGGTGTACAGTGGATTTTTTTGTCCCGAAATGCATCACCTTGCATTTATCTTCATTGAAGGTAAGCAGCCATTTCTTGGTCCACTGTTGCAGCCTGTCAATATCTTCCTGGAGGACAATCTGGTCATCAGGGCTTCTGATCCTTTCGTAAACTTTGGCATCGTCTGCAAAAAGTTTTCCAGATGACTGGAGGCCCTCCAGGAGATCGTCAATGTAAATGAGAAATAGGGTTGGGCCCAGGACACTACCGTAAAGCGGGGTGACTTTGTATCACTTTTGACCAGTTTGGTACAATATCTTGTATATCACTTGAGATTTCACTCTGGAAACTTTTTCATCATACCAATTGGACAATTCTCTATCTAACTGAGTACAATAAATGTCTTGAAATTTATCATAAATATTTAATTTTTTTACCAAAAAATTGATAATTCTCACCCAGAGGTCGGAGTGACTATGATCACTACATTAAAATCACCTTATGTGTGCCATAGGAGCCCTCAGAAGGGGCTTGTGTGATAAACTTACATGTTTTGAATAAAATCAAAGGCTTTGCTTGACAAAAACTCACACATTTTACAGTAAAACTATGAATCATTGAGGTATTAAAATAAAGTTGCGTGCTCCGGGTCTAAACTCACATTACAGAGCTATAAGCAGCAAAATTAGCTACTTTAACCTCTGACTTCAAGATTAAGTAACAGTCACAGATGTCCTAAGACTCAGTCGGGGAAACTATGGCAAAATCTGCTATTTTTAGCAGTCTGCTATTTTTAACAGAAATCTGCCAAAAATGGGTACGCATGTGACGTCATCGTACCCAATTATAGCAGATTTGGGTGCAGCCCCATACAAAAGCAGATCTGCACCCTAATTGAAGCAAATGCGCATCAAATGCCTGGCAGGTTCATGATGAGAATAGTGCTGAGAATGTCCTCTGATATTTTTGTTCAGATCCGACTATTTTCAAATTCATTATTTAAAAATAGTCGGATCTGAACAAAAATATCAGAGGACATTCTCAGCACTATTCTCATCATGAACCTGCCAGGCATTTGATGCGCATTTGCTTCAATTAGGGTGCAGATCTGCTTTTGTATGGGGCTGCACCCAAATCTGCTATAATTGGGTACGATGACGTCACATGCGTACCCATTTTTGGCAGATTTCTGTTAAAAATAGCAGACTGCTAAAAATAGCAGATTTTGCCATAGTTTCCCCGACTGGACTGAGATAGAGCAGCTCAATGCTCATCCTCCATCATCAGTATCTAAGCCTTTCCTTTCTCTTTCTTTATCTGGGTCTTTCTCATCTTTACCATTATTTTTGCTGGAGATGCTAGCGAATTTATACTTCATGCCAATGACAACAAAAAAAACAAGCTGTGACATGAACATGGTTATTCTAACTGGGACCCAAAGTGTCTGCTATAATGCTTCATTGCTTTATTTAACCATTGGCATAGAAAATACAGTTCACAGCAGCCAAATGCTCATTTGAGGCCCGAAATTGGTCTATGATCAAAGTCACCCCGGGTATCATTGTCACCCCGATTTACGGTACCCTGTGGATTGATTGACCTTGCACAATACGTCAATACCTACTGCTTAAATTTACGAAGCTAGTGTAAGAATGTAGGAAGCATGTAGGAAATGTAATCTTCTAATGTAGGAAGCAAAATTCAGAAGTCAGAAAAGTTCAAATGCATTTTCTCAAACTGAAACGCAAAATCAGACGTTTCAGAATTTTGGATTTTTGGGGAGATACAACAACAGCCCATGCGACCTTTCTGGATGCATCAGTTCTCTCATTAATCGGCCCCTAAGAATACCACAGACCCCGGTGCCAACACAAAATTCCAACAAAAATCCGCCGCACACACGCTGGGTCCGTAAATCCGAAGGAGAGACGGTAACGGAATCCTTCAAAAAAAAAACTTTCTTGGAAAAGGATTTTTTTAAAGTCCTACATTAGAAGATATTTCCTAAAATTTCGAAATAATATGAGCCATTGAATTCAATATTCTGTTCCTAGAATTATTCTATAAGCACACTTACAGTAACACAATACCTGTAATGCGTATTTTGTCATCGCTAAATTTTCACTGGTACTGAAATTTTGGCAGAGCTACCATATTGAAAAAGCCGGCAAAACATGCACGCTTGACAAAATCAGCGCAGTCCGTTTTACTTTCGCAGGGGAGCTGTGTTTTGAACTTTCTGTTGTTATTTTGATAAATTGTCTGAAGGAGATTCTTCAAAATACATTGAGGTATTGTTAATTGACGTCTAAACTGCTTTTGTTGAATAAGGTTATCGCATTGTTCTGTGAAGCGTCTGCCGTGTACCTATATACGATCAGATTATGATTTTCAACGCCAACACTGCCCATTTTTATCAGCTACTTAGGTTTATCTTTTCTCATCATTGCGCTGGTGGTAGCAATGATGTAATTGTTTTCTGTTATTCACACATGATTGATAATACAGGGCATTTTCGCCACTATTCAATCACTTGGTCTGCCACATTGATTAGCAAACAATCAGAATCACAATCTGTCATGCCACTGCGGCAGAATATTCTGCTGTGATGTCATACTTTGGGAGCTCTGCTCCTTGCTCTGCCCAATGGTGCATAATGCGCATGAGTCACGGCATAATATTTTATGATAAAACACCAAATCACCAAACCAAACCAAACCAAACCGAATACCTCAGGAACACCAAATGCTAGCTATCACATTGGAACTACCTACCTTCTGGCTAGATGGGTGCATTTTCTAGGAAATTACTTCAGTTATTGCTGAAGAAAGTAAGGGGGTTCTTTGAAATGTTGGGATGCATGATGATGATAGCTCTCATGTTTTCTGAAGAAAAAAAAAATGTACAGTTACTGTAGGTACTATATCTTATTGCCTTCTTACTTCAAATTCAATGCAAAGTAGTGTTTAAGATGTTTGCTAGTTAATATCAGAAAAGTAAATGTGGTAAAAAGCACTTAACAGTATTTGTTGTTTAAAAATTGCTAGTTTTTTAGTTACTCACCCAGGATAAGGAAGCCATTGTTCATGGTAATTTTTTGGCATCTAAATATTCTAAATCATCTTATTAATAACAAACAAAATCATAAGATTCCCAGTAGCTGGACACTGGACAGTGGACACAGTCTTTCACACTCTGTCTCAGCGACCACCTATCTGCCTGCAGCTGCTCCCCTCAACAGACTGTCCCTATCAGCACTATGCAGTCTCATATAGCTGCACCAGGTGGGTCACTAAAACCCAATTCATCTGTTCATCTCACCTGTTTGGGGTTCCCTTTGTCGGTGAGAGCCAAATGGATAGGTACAGGAATAAAGAGAAGGGAAGGATAGATAGAGCTCGCCCGATAGATGAGAAGCATCCAAGCGGGAAAGTGACTCCATGAGTGCCATGCCAAACCAATGAGTCTCAACAAGAGTGTTAAGATGCAAATAGTAACATTGCCATTATCGGAACACTATGTGCTTGTGCAGTCATGGAACACTGATTCATTTCGATACACATTCAAGATAGGTAGTAGGTACCTATGAAAACAGAGTATCACCCATTGTCGCAGATAACATAGATTTGAGTCTGGTCAAATGTGGTTCAGATACTACTTCCTCCGGTAGAGAGTTCCACGGAGCGACGCAGCTCCAGCTCCGATGCACCGGATGTTAAATAGGTCTGATTTTGCACTTTGCACTGTGATCCATGTTTTCGTGATTCCGAATGTTGTGTGAACTTTGCCTAGCCTACCAATGACAGAGAACCCCTGTGGGATAGTGACCCGACCATGTTGGCACCATTTTACCCAAGGCCATGTATAGGATTGTACCCCTGGCGTGACCTGTGTCACTCATATGTCTCGATGATGATTTGGTGTTGTGGAGCGCACCAGCAACGTATATGGCGCCCAACTCATGTGTCTCATGAGAATATGGTACCTTCCAGCGGTGTTATGTCGGCCCCGGCGGCACATACCGGACACCCCGGGTGGGCGCTGAATGGGGTGATATGTGATCGCTTACTATCAGACTTTGCTTACCGCTGAATGGGCTATCTGTCGGCCGATTCGTACCACGCTGGTGTTTTGACTAGCCACATGAGCCGTAATACGTTTACACGTAGAGATGAGATGGTGCAGTGTGTGTCTTGGATGGCCTGGCAGTTAACTGAAAACATTTAGCGTACTTGATGACCCCGAGGGGTCAGAGGGTCCGTGGAGTGCTTGTAAGAACCTCTGTGATAGTTGCAGGAACCTCTTTGAAGAGTTTCACCAGATGCCAGGGGGATGTAGTAACCGAATTCTTTCATTACTCGGATGTTTGTGTTTTGGTTCATGTCGTAACCGCGAGGCCATGCTATGCATTATTTAACTCCGTTTTTGGTTAGCTTCGACTGGTTTTTGAAAGTGTTTACCTTCTCCCTGTATCCAAACACTTGAATTCCGTATGAACGTATGAGTCTCCCCAGCCATCGTCCAGCAATGTTTAAGACGCATAATGGCCATGTCTTTCTTCTCAGCTATCTGTTTCACCCATAGTCTCACCCTCCCACCTCCCCTTCAGCCGGCGATGTCTGCGCAATATATTACCACATCTTCTCATCTGTGTTTCTCCCATTGACTGACAACTCCCCCCCCCCTCCCCCCCTCAGGCGGCAATGTCTGCGGGGACGTACGTGCGCGCCGTCTACCCGTTCACGGCCGGCGAGTCAACCGACCTGAGCCTGAGCGCCGGAGATGTGATCCGCATCGGACCGCAGCCGGTCGCCGGCGCCGACACCTCTGCGTGGCTGCACGGACAGAATGTGTTCTCACTGGCCAGCGGCTACTTTCCACGTGAGTTGAAACGTCGGTGGACGCCGGGATAGAATGGGTGGGTGACGGGGACAGGGAATTGGTGGCGTGTTGGGAGGGTTGAATGAAGCGGGGCAGGTCGACTTGATTACCCGGTAGATGACATTGAGGTGGGAGATGATGCCGAAGAAGGCGAGGGCTGTGGGTTGACATGGATTGAAGTCCGATCGATCGAATGAAGCAGAAGTAACTCAGCTCGGATTTAGGCTCTGGCATGCAAAAAGACATTATTAGTGCATCGGTATTCATTTTGTTTGAAAGTATTTGGCATGGTCATTCACGTATGTTCGTTATAATCAACGGCACATGTAAGTTGCGAGAATTTTAAAATCGATTATGAGCGTTCAAAATAGCTGAAGAATTATAACCATAGGGCGATGAACATTTAGATAGAAAGAAACACCTCACTGACTCTGACCTTACACATGCATCTGTAAGGCGCTGTAGCGTGTGTGTCTGCCCACACCCATGGCTGGTAAAGTTGGGGAGCGGCCGAGCGACTCTGTCGATCTGCTCGCCTGCTGCCGATGTGAGTGCCCGCTGACGTCGGTGACATGACGGGCCGGTACGATGGTGTGATGTCGCGCTGAACCGGTCGCCAGGCGGCGATACTCGGCTGCTCGAAATGCGATACATATTGCGTGCCAGCCCGTGCCAGTGTGTCTGGGCGAGTTAAACAGGCCTTTCGTACAGCTGAGATTGTACAGTTAGATTTGACATACCAGGGAACTCCTGTGACTACTAAGTGCCGCTCTGGGCTGATAGATATCTAATGTGCCGTAGAACGAGGTACTCTCCATCGGTCGATTCCTTGCCTTGTATGTAAGCCTATGCAGCCGCAGCATACGCTCTAGCCGCAGCGTCGCATGTAACACGAGCAATCCACTCGATGACCTTGGCAGGCAGCATCATGACTGCCAAGTATCAACACTGCGGTGCACACTCCCGCTCTCCCCTCCCTCTCCCTCACACCATGGGGCAAGGTCACCCCCCCCCCCCCCGCGATGGGCTCCGCGCGTGTTCCGTAGCCACCACAGCAATCTCTCGCCAAACTCACCGTGAAACTATCTGTACGGTGGGGAGCGTGATCGTCCTTCTCTGTGTCTGGCGGAATGCTAGCACCCGCTGGCCGTGAATGATGGGTCACGAATTGCACTCCGCTGCTGTTCTGAGACGCGTGGGCGGATCGGCATGCATGGGGACGCCATTACCTTGGTATGGTTGCAGATAATGCTGTGGTGAAACTGGCGAGGGGCCAGGAGGTTTCGTAGCAGTGGCCATGAACCATTGAGGATAGTCCATGCCAGGATGTGAAGTCATTCAACGGCAGGACGTGGATGCTTTGTTGATTTGACACGCATTCACGAGAGTCAGTGAGAGAGCTATATAAGGTGTGAGAATCGTGAGAAACATGAGTGAGAAATACCACGCCCCGTAGGGACGCCTTGTGATTCAGGGCATCATAACAGCACTCGTCTACCGACAGCCAATATCAGACCCTAACCTGCCGGGCGTGTGTTGATGTTTGCACGGCCGGCGAGTGAGGACGGCTAATCAGACCTCGGCGGGCCAGTTTCGTCCGTCGTGACTCCACGGCCACCCGCAGGCGGCGGCCGGGTCAGTGGCGGCTTATTTACCGAGGGACTCTGAGAGGCCCCGTTCACTGAGTGGTATTCGGGACGGAACGTATTGGGCGACCGTCAACAGCCCGGGGGTGAGGGTATTTGAGATGCGATCCCTGCGGGGTTGTTTATTGGGTCCGATAGATCGATATGAAATTGCGAAGTGGCTCGTAAGTAGCACATGACGCATAATGCATAGCATTGCATTGCAGGCTCTTTTCATCTGTTTCCAATTTGCATCCTAGGAATAGTTTATTTTGCTCTGAATTCTGATGGATTAAAATAAACACGCTGCATTTCATGGGCAGTGTTTTTTTCAAACTTCAAACTATGTGTGGTCTTCTAATAAGTTCTGTGTAGTCTTTAAACTATGTTATGGCACACTGTGCTGACCCCTGCCGGCACCAGCATCAAGTTCTCCCACATGACCTTGTCGGCTACCCTCCGTCCTTTGCTCACAGTGCTGAGCCTACCTCTGATCTGCCGCGGCGTGACTGAGTGATTACCAACATTGTCGGCTTGCTGAGAGGCTTAGCACGCCAGGGACTGGATTCAAGACCAGATAAGAACTGATCCATGATCCGGCGCGATGGTATGCTCACTTGACTGCCGGGAATCGTGATTTCTGTTTTAAAGCGGCTGGGTGTAACGGTTTCATCCAGACTGGGCTTAGTTGTTGGCCTGGAGACGGGCCGGGAAGACTATCCTCTGCCGCATGACAACCACTCTGATCCTGAGTAGACGATCGGCTTTGTGCTCAACCGGCGAATGATTTTATGAGAGCCACTCCTCCTTGTGTGACTCAAACGGCAGGTCTTGCATTTTCGTTCTCAGTTTGCTATTCTCTGATGCGATGACAACGCCACCTACACATGATCAGACGGCGCCCGTAACGGACCAGCTCGACAACGCATAGGTGGCGCTGTAGTCGCATTTTAGCCCCGTTGGACACCCACTATGACCGCCCGACCCCGGCGTCCGGTTATCAGCACCAATGTTGAAACTACCAGCTCTGTAAACTTGTCGAATGTGGGTCAGCCGGGCTGCGCGCACTTGTAGGAAGGGGACGGGAGGGGGGGGGGGGGCAGATTCCGGGCCGGGTGCTAAATCCGGACTCTGCTCGCTCGCCTGGCGAGGAGTGACTCCGCGTGAGATACGCGTGTGGGAGCTTTTTTTGCGGCGTATGGCTTTTTTTGCGGCGTATGCTGACACTTCTTTTTCGTGCGTCTGGGAGAGTGATCCCACAGCATGAATCTATTGGGCGAACGACCACATTGGAAGCATTTTTTGTACACATGGATTATTTAAATATTTTATAAAACAATTTCAGACATGATGAGCTTCGCACAGTACCACGTAAAACTCACGTTTACCTCTTTGTGGTGACTGCCATGAAACCAACATTTCCCTCTCCACCTTTCTCTGCCCTCCAGGCTCTCACGTGCACGTCATGGACGAGGCGGAGGTGTCTGGACTGATCCACGGACCCCCTCGCGGCCGCTGGAGCGGGGGCCGGGGCCGGCCGGCGCCCATCCAGCCGGACGAGTGTCGGGAGCTCAACAATGACTCGGGATACGTCGGGTCGCCGCTCAAAGGTCAGTCACAGGGGTCACACAGGGTCACGAGGGTTCAAAGGTGTCACCAAGGCCACAAGGGGTCAGACAGGGTCACGGGGGTCAGAAAGGGTCACCATGGGTTAGCCAGGGTCAAACAAGGTCAGGTGGGGACACATTGACAGGTAGGCTCACCAAAGGTCAGATTCTCTCGTCGCCTGTCATTTCTGGATGCTAGTATTCCCACATCATCATCAGTACGACACAATATCACCTATGGGGCTGTTAAGCCAATATCACTGCAACAGCCACGCCAGCTTTGCCGACTGTCTGAGTCGACGCGATTATTAGTTCTAGGGTAGATCCCGGTCAATAAGCTCCCGGACTTTTCTACGGACATATCTGTTGGTATGTACGTGCTACCTGTCAAACGTTTATTATACCTTGCGTACCTCATTTCTCCGATTCAGAGAGCATCACGCAGAGCATTTCCTGATCAGTGACAGGACGTGTCTGCAATGCCTGTTTTATATCAATAATCCACTACGTGAACAAACAGCGGGCTTCTGCTGACGCATCTACCCAATTTTCAACAGCTCTGGATCATGTGTTTAATCCCGCAGTGATCGTGGGCAGGATGGGGGGAGGGGGAGGGGGTCAGACCCCAGGGTAGCTGGCGGGGGTAGGGGGGGGGGGGCGATGCAGTGGTGACCTGGGCCCGTCTATTTACCCAGTGGCGGACCTCACGTGAACACCACATGCTCTGCCAGACGGGTGCTGCTCAGCCTGTCGTTCGTCATTTGTTTACCGGGTTCGAGTTATCTGATGAATACCATGAGATCTGGCACCCAGCGACCGGGTGCCCCTGTGTGCTGGAGACAACGCGGGGGCTTGGGCTCAGGGCTGTGGAAAGACTGTCTTTCTTAGCTTCTAAAACGTGGAAGGTTGGTTCAATCTGCCCACATATTGACTCCAGTGCCCATTCTTATAAATGTCATATAATGAATTTGGTAGCACTGGCTGAAGTCCAACTGTAGAAAGCTGCTATTAAATGCAGAATGGTTTTACGCATTTTCATCCATCATGTATTTACGGTAGCAAGAATCGTTAAGTTGATTCGGATACCCATTTGCCAACACTGGAATCATGATAAAATATAAATGCTACCAAATGCCGTGAACAGAATAGCACGCCCTTTATAAAGTTGAGCCTCAGGTGCGGGAGAAAAGGCGGAGGCTGCAACTAAGGCTGCAACCGCCACGGCCGTATCGAACTCCATCAGACGAATGCTATCCATTTGATCATCTGGTCTAAGATCGTGCATTCCTTTGGCTTTGGTCTGCGCTGGATCCGGCCTATACGGCACCCGGATCCGATGGGTGTGCGGTTTGATCGAGTCTGCTCCGTTCTATGATCTAGAATTGATGGAAGAAACAGCTGAAGGGAGATGCAGTTGAATGTTGATAGTTTGTTGATGATCAACATCAGATGTGAGTTACTGGTCCCTGTGACTAGACATTGTGAGCTTTGTAAGCTGGTCACTGATCAGATAAAAAGACGTAACTTCTTACACGAATAGGCAACAAGGTAAGTGGAGAACTAAAACAATTTCATGATGAAGAATCGGCACTGCTCGTAGGGAAAAGCCGCTCTTCAATGAGTATCGGAAATTTCACTAAAAAAAAATTATTTTTACGTGGCTTCCCCTATCTACCAGCCTCAGCCAGTTTTTTTAATCCATCCTCTAATCTCTAGCAGCACCATCCCTCCGCCGCAGCTCTGTACTCAGAGCAGCGCTCTCCGGGGCGCGCGGCGCCGGCGGTGGCCGGAGCCGGTTTGGCCCGGACGGTGCCACTCAGTCTACCCTCCCTTCCTGGTGCCGGGCTTCCGAGAACCAACTGCCACACGGTCCCAGGAGGGGGGTGACGGTGGTGCCGACTGCTGGTGCTGCCTTCTGGTGCTGGTGCGTCGGGTTATGGAGCTGCTGGTGGGTGGTGCTGTCATGCAATGGCTGCTGGTGCTGATGTTTCAGGACGCTATTATGGCATAGGCATTACATATCGCACGAGTCGCGCAAGTGGATGAAGGCCGCCATTGACGTAACTTTGTCTTTAATCAACTAATCGAGTGGTCCCTGGTGTGCAAGAAACTTTTTGCGGTTGAACCTTTTCTGGCTTTAGTTCGCCATATTTCAGGCCTGTCTCTATGTGCACTTTGGGTGCAGCTGCAGCCCTGTTGCCGCCCGCCCAGTCCGTGACATGGTATTACACGCCATTTTATTAGTTTATGTTCTGGTCCACTTCTAGGAGCCGGCGCAATCCTGTTACCGTGTGGACGACCAGCCCGGTTCTGAGAACCCCCCCCCCCCCCTCCCCGTCCCTCCTCTGTTCCTGTGCCAGTCCCTGTTGGGGTATCAGTGCCTCCAGGCAATATAGGATCCTGATAGTGAGCATTCTCGAAGCCATGTGACGTATGTGCTTGCTCTTTGGGAGCGGTGGTGCTTCGTTTTTTTTTTTCTGTGGTTGGCCAGTAGGTACTGAGAATCTTTCATTATGGCTTTGGGTAGAAAAGAAGTGGAAGAAGCCTTCTTTTGTGGGCTGATATCATTAATGTCACAAGGACAGCAAAGATACCTGAATACAGTTCCATGATCCATGCTAGGCTGTTCTTGATTATTTTCACAAACAATGGCTGTTTTGTTGCACATGAGCCGCAAGAGCTTAAATAAATACAGTAAACCAGTATAGCGCCTTTTGGGGCGACTAACGGAGCGAGCGAGGGGGTGAGTCTTGCACGTGCGAAATTTCGAGGGGGTTTGTGCCAACCAACTGACTTGTGCACGGCACCCTACTGACCGGTTTCTAGCGATGTGCCAAATTTGAGCACAATCGGCCCAGCCGTTCTCGAGATCTGGGAGCGGCACCCTGCACGTGCGCACGTGCAAAATGGGTCCCAACTGACTTGTGCACGGCACCCTACTAACTGGTCCCTAACCGTGTACCAAATTTGAGCGCCATCGGTCCAGCCGTTCTCGAGATCTGGAAACGACCCCTGCACGTGCGCACGTGCAGCAGCACCCCAACTCTGGCACATGGATATGCAGTGCCTAGTGGGTGCCTACCTACATGCCAACTTTCAGCGCAATCGGCCAAGTAGTTACCGAGATATTGCAACAATTACAAAACTGACACCTCTTCGTTTTGCACGTGGCACGTGCATAAGGGGTCACCTATATGCATCGGGAATAGTCCAATACTTGGTAGAAGGAATGAAGCTACCCTACAAAAATTACCGCGTGTAAATCGGTCAAGTGGTTGCTGAGATATAAGCCTCGCAAAAGCGTCCGCACGGCCGGCCGGCCGGCCGGCCGGCCGCTCATACTCAGAAATTTCCGTTAATCTAAGGAAAGACTTCGCTCGCTTCGCTCGCTCCGTAATAAATCGGTCCACCACTCACAACATCGCATCAAACATCGTTGACATTTTAGCTTTGACATTCTCGCGGTGGCCAGAAATCATGGATTATTAATAGCGGTGACATTTGAAGAAAAATCGACGACTTCGCCTTGACCAAGAGTCTCCTCCACATGACATAAATCCCCGTTGCCAAGAGCCGACTTTGCTTATGTATACGGCGATGCCTCCCACTCGCATACTGGGGGTGTGGTCGGGTGGCCGGGGGTGAAAAGGTCAACTGGCGGTCATGTCCGGTGTTCGCTGGTCGTTCGTATAAGCATTAGTGGCTACCTCCCTCCCCCCCCGCCCGGGTCTGTTACTGGAGGCCCGACAGGGTGTGAACTGACAAAGGTGCCGACTGAACATTGGCGCGAAAATGTGTTTTGTAATGTGTATACTGAAAAGTGTCTTATGTATACATTGGTCAGTAAGTGCTGATACATGCTGGGTGTGAAGTTGGATGTTTTCTGACACTTTTTTCTGAACAGGTAGTCAAATGGGTGACGGGTGGGGTGTGGAGAAAACTGTCCACAAGTGGACAGAGTTTGAAGTCATATTCTGACGTGCAACCAGGGTCTTTTCCAAGGAAGCCTTGTCAGGGGGCCAGAACAATCACATTTGATATTGTTGGAATTTGCAGCGGAATTATTATCTACAGAACCCGGAAGAACATGTAATGCTCATTCTCGAACACTGCCATGACCCTTTCCGCAATATGAATGTCACCTTTCTTCAGCTGCTTGGACTTACGCTGGTAGCTGTGAATCGTTCTAACGTCAGGGAACACTGGAGCCTTGCCTGGACACTGGACTGGACTGGACACTTGCCTGAACACTGGAGGCGAGGCCTTGCCGTCGCCTGGTGCACTGCCACTCACATCGTGTCCTTACTCTTGTCTGCGAGCATCGAATGGCGTCGCTGCTGCCTACGATCCTCCGAGGTCCCTCTCAGTCCACTTTCATTGGCATTCTCCTCTGTCCCCTTTAGCCGTTCCCATGACCTGACTCGAGCGACCCCTTGGAAGCCCCAGAGATGTTCCTAAGCCCCTGTCAAACGTAGCTGTCGAGCTGGCGTCAATCACTCACCAATTGTTGCTCGAGTGCTTACCGATGCGAGGTTTTCGGTAAGCGATGTGTGAGCGATGATGAATCGCAGTTCGCAGTGTGGTGATTGACCTTCTGGATATATTCCATTGATGCGAGTTGTGAAAGGGCTGGGAGCGCTGAATGTGCTCGTGGGTTCTCGAGTCGAGGTAGGGTGGGGCGGAGCGGGGTCGCGGGCAGGATGGGGCCGGGGAGGGGGGGGGGGGCGGTGCAGCTACTCTGGATCGCCGTGGTATGCCCGACGCTCGGTCACTGCCGGGTCCGCGCCGGCCTCTCCGGGCGTGGGCCTGACCTGCAGTGCGTCTCCGCCGGGTGGCCAGACGTGCTGTCAGCACGCCCGTCAGCACGGCCGGTCAGCACGCCGCGCGGCCGCCGCCCCCGCCCGCACCGGGCGCAGCCACAACAGCGACCCGCCCGGCGCTGACGAGGCGGCGCGGCGCGGCGACCCGCCGCTGCCAAACCGGCCATGGCCCGCCCCGCCCCG